GACAAACTAGATTTGGAGGCATCTTTATATGATCTACGATGAAACTAATAAAAATGAGAATGAAATGTCGGTCTAGATTAAATATTTGAACTTGAACCTTTTAATCTTTTTTTCTTTTAGAATTTTAATTAACCTATTTAATATTTGATGTTTTGGACTTGTATTGTTTAATTAAACTAATTTTATAGTTTTATGTCAATGTTATATATATATACATATATTATATATGTGTATACGTTTCCAATCCCTAATTTTAGAAAAAAAATCGTTTCCCGTTTCCGAAACGTTTCGCTTCCACGTTTTCGTTTCCGTTTCCATGCAACATAGGTGCTATTTTTGTCCAATAAACTTTTAAATGATATTTTTGTCCCAAAAACTTGATTTGGGGCTATTAGAAGCAATTTCTCTTAAAGGTACAAAGACCAAGAATGAGATCTCAGATTCTCCGATGATAGACTTATTTATTTGTCTATTATTTAATATATATTTAAGATATACTTCCAAATCTTTTCAGTTTAGTTTTTGGTTGACTAACACTGAAATTATATGGAGATATGATTTCATTCATATTAGGTGTAAAAGACCAAGAAGGAGATCTTAGACTAATTTCCAAATATTCATTCAAATTAAATGTACAAAATCCAGGAATATGAGATCTGAGATGATTGACTAATATATTTGTCCTTATTTTTATATATGCTTAAGATATATTTCCAAATAGTTTCTGTTTATTTTTTGGCTGATATGGAAAATTAAATATGTTCCATATATATCTCTGTTCCAACGATATATTTACTGCAATAAAAGAATTATAAATACTACATGTTGATGAAATTTGTACATCAGACTTGTTTTAGATCCTAAAAAATGGATTATCTCATAATTTTTCTTTTAGTTACTACTATGTATTTTGGGCTAAATGAAGCTTGCAAAAAAAATCATGTAGTGATTCATAACGAACTCGGTCCTGGTATTGATCTCAACATTGCATGCCGGCAATTCAGCATAGAGCGTACACCTTCAATGTTTCACACCCTAAAGTACAAAGATCCTTTTTATGTCATTGAATTCGAAGATAATAATCAGCTACCTCATGGTGAAAAATGGTATTGTATGCTTAGTCATGGGACTAGGCCAAAATATTGGTATGATATCGAAGTATATCGTCAAGGCTATTATCCTCGATGTGGTCAGCTACGCTCATGGATAGCCAAAACGGATGGGATTTGGTTTACAAGAAGATATAATAGCCCGCCGGGACATGTTCTTAATTGGAAAATTCAGTAACTAATTTTTGATGTATGCGGGTTTTTCGTTTTGCGTCATATGTACTATGCCGTAAAAGCGAATTAAGTCATCGATCTATTCGGTGGGAAAATATATGGCAAAATGTTGTAGTAAAATATAAGTTCATTTGATCTATCTCTATGTATTTTGCATCAACGTTTTAAATAATAAAATAATATATTTTCAATACTCATTTGTTTTACAGGTTTGCATCGGTATGGTTTTTTACAAGATATATTATTCTATTTTGCAAATCCTTAAACTTCCTTTATCATATAATCCGCTAGTTTCCGTAACAAACAGAAGTGTTGAGTTGAAGAGACGAAATGTTAGAAAACAGTGTTGAGTTGAAGAGACGAAAGACGAAACGTGAGGGTATAGCGTTATTACTAATCTTCTTTTCATTTTTGGTCTTTACTATTTCTTTTTTCTTTTTGCTATTTCGTCAGCAGCCTTTTAAATTTTAAATATACCTTTAATTAAAACTGAACAAATTTCTAATACCCAATAAGAACGCTTTTGTAATCGACGGAGTACTTGGTATGGAAACATGAGTTGGGCTTAGGCCTGGGAATTCGAACCGAACCGAACCGAACCGAAGTTTGGGCAAATCGGTTCGGTTTCTGTTAATTAGGTTTAACCGATCATAATGGTTTTAAATTTGGTTCGATTAACCGAGATTTTCGGTTCGGTTCGCCCGAACCGAACGGTTAACCGAAAACATAAAAACCCTAACCTAATATACTTCTAGCCGCCTACAACCCTTCTTCAATTCTTCTTTTTCTTCATCTTTCTCTTATAGATCCCCTCTCTTCTTCTGCTATTCATCATCACCATCATCTTCTTCTTCTTCGTTTCATCTCATCATCTTCTTCGTCTTCGTTTCATCATCATCTTCTCTTGATTAATCTCATCATATTCTTCTTTCATTCCTCATCTTCTTCTTCGATTCATCATTTTCTTCTTCGATTACACCAACATCATCTTTTTCTTCTTCTATACCGGAATCTTCGCCCATGAGATCTCGCCGCCGGTGTCTCCGATCAACGACTCCACTCCTCGATTCATCACTACGTCACTTTTTTCTCTCCCACCCCAAATTCTTTTTTTTTTTTCTTTTTGGGTCAAGAGACCAATTTTGTGGAAGCCCAAATAGAAAATAGCTTTTGGCCCAACAATTATGAACCGAAAAAACCGAAAGGCAAAAACCGAAATAACCGTGAAATAACCGAACCGAACCGAACCGAACCGAACCGAAATTGTTAGTCGGTTAGTTCGGTACAGAATTCATTTTCCAAATAAACCGGAAAACCGACTAATCGAAACCGAATAAACCGATCGGTTTAAATTCGCAGGCCTAGTTGGGCTGATTCTCAAACTAGACTTCTCATGGATCAAACTAGACTTCTCGTGGATTATTAAAATGACATTTTAAATTGAGGAATGGTTAGAAATGTTTTTTTCCAATACCTCTTTTTAAAAATATAACCTACATAAAACCTTTTTAAAATTTTCTTAAAAATTTAAGATTTACCTAAGTATGTATGTAACATTATAAAAGCATACAAAACTACATTTATATGTATAAATACATGATTAAAACTTATAAATATCTTATAAAATCTTATAAATATCTTATAAAATCTTATAAATACGTTTTTATAAATACTTAGATCGAGGCTTGAGTAATACTTACCATCCATAAGTAACCTCATAAACTTTTTCAGGTTTAATGAGACGTATTTTTGAAAATACACAAAAGAAATGGACATTTTTTACAAATGGCACACCAAAAAGTGCATTTTCAAAAATAAAATCTAATAATAAGTTCTTGCAAATTATTTATTATAAAGTGCTTCGTAATTATTTATTTGAAACTATAGCATCTTATCTATTTCTAAACTATTTTAACTTTTCTTATAACTTTGAATGATGAAAAAAAAACAAAGACAAAATATAGGATTTTTTTTTAGCATTTAAAGACAAAGAAAAAAGACCACATGTCGTGAAAAAGAAGTTAAAAACTTCATGACGAGCTCATTTTTAAATTAGAATTAATGGCCAAACCCTTATCTACACTTTTGGTATAGAAAAAAAAGAAGGAGAAGATGATGATAGAGTTGAATGATAAAATCTAATATTTGAGATTATGATCACTAATTTTTTCGTTGGAAGATGGGTATTTTTTCTTCCAAAAAACGTCTACTTTTTATTCTTTGTTGACTTTTTTCCTTCAGAAAAAGTTTTATTACATACTAATTTTTACATTCAAAATAAATTTCATAATGTATATGCCAATACTTTCTATTTTTAGCCACTCTATACGTACTTTACCTTTCTTTATAACAAAATTCTTAAACTGATAATAAAAGGAATAACTAAAGTGTTAAACAAATTCATGTATAATTATTTGGAATGACATCAAAACCTATTATTGTATTATTTATTTTGCAATTATATTTTTAATCAGTATCTCACGCATCGCGTGGGTTTCTCTCAAGTATATATATATACCTATACATAGACAGATACGTATATACTATAAGTGTGTACTATGATACTAAAGATTTGTAAGAGAAAATTAAAAGAAAAAAAAAAAAAAAAAAACAAATTGGTCAACAGAATATCAAAATTAGTTGTATTAATATAGTGTGGTGCATAGATAGATAAAAATGTTTGAAGAAGAGAGAACAGCGAAGAAACAGAAGACAAGAGACGGTTTGAAAGAACGAACTGATGCAATTGCAAAGTGCAACCACAAAACATTCACACTCGTGCTATCTCGGGAACATCTCATGTTTTTATATTCTCTCATAATTAATATTATCAGAAGTAAACTCTGTGTCAATATAATTTGGACTTTTATCCTAAGATCTTCGAGTTCACACATTGCGACCAACAGATTTTTACTTTCAAACCCACGATCTTTGACCCATATTCACATGTTTGATATTGCAATAAGCAAATAGCTTGAAACTAGTAATCAATAGGGCAATTTACACAAATGGCACTAAAAAGGCTTATTATTTCAAAAATGGCACTTTCTTTTGAAACTTCCAAAAATAGCACACAAAGTTTTTAATCCTCTAATTAATTAAAACAGAAAATACACAAAACCTAATTTCATTTCTTCCAAACCCGACGGTTTCGCTTCCAACAAACTTCACCTTCGAAAAACTTGACGACTCCGTCGACCTCCACCTTCGCCGTCGACCTCGACTTTCGCCGTCGACCTCGACCTTTGTCATCGCCCTCGACGACGCCGTCGCCCCCGACGACTCCGTCGGTCACCGGATCTGATTTCTTCACCGGAGATTCGAAGACTTTGTCGGATTCATTCTTCTCCGGTGAGTTTGTGTAATTTCCCTCACTCTCCAATTCTTCTCCGGCGAGTTTCTGTAGTCCTTTCATTCACTTGTTTCGATTCAACAAATGCTGAAAGATAATCGGTGAAATTCGATTCCGATTTAGGGTGAAGTTTTTTGTCATTGGGGACAATGATTAGATCACTGCGATTTGTGACATAGGGCTTTGCTATAAGTGAATCAATTTTAGGATACTTGTATTTCAAACATTGTTGATGAAAATGGTGTACTTGATCGATATGTTTAATTCATAGTACATTCTTTTGTTCTCTAGATTGCTGAAATTAAGAAATGATTGAGTACTAGAAATGAATTTGAGGCTTTATTGTTCTCTCTTTGGCTGAAATTAAGAAATGATTCTCTATAATATTTGTGATTTTTGATTCCATTGGAAGATTTTCTAATCGTTGGTATGGTTTGTGTTGTTTCTCTGCTCTATTTATAACCAAACAAAGTGTTCTTAAGCTCCTTGCACTTAATGAATCTATAGATGTATGAATACAAAAGCTACCGTCATTCTGTGATATATAGACACTATTATATGAATTCATAAGCTTGCTATGTTAGCTTCCATTGTCATTGAAAGTTTGAAGGTACAGAAATCTGTGATTTTGTGTTGCTAAGTATTCAGGATAGCCTTCCCGAAAATCTTCTGTGATTCTGTGTTGCTTTTAAGATATTTATTATTACTATCATATGGTAATTGTAGTATTTTGGAGCAAAAACGTTTTACAATACATTCATGTTGCAGTTTTATAATCTTTATGTATATCTGAATTTGGGGTTGATGTTTCAAATGGCGGATGTTCTTATGAACCTGTGGAACTTATCTACTAGATTTAGTTTTTTTTTGCTGCTACAAACAGCCTACAGCCGAATCAGTTTAATAGAGAAGCCGACTGCATTCTTGTGTGAGAAATACACGAGCTTACCATCACCGCAACTTTCTCAAATACTGAATATTGAAGCATCTAATCATGTAAATTCAGTCTCTTCTTTTTATGGTTTAAACTAGTTTTGGGAAAGATTTATAGTAATTCGGGATGGCCTTCCTGATTTTGGAAGGATTTATAGTAATTCGGGATGACCTTCCTAATTTGGGAAGGATTTATAGTAATTCGGGATGACCTTCCTAAAATATGTAATTGAATGTATTAAGTCTGCTGAATGTGTTTGTTTTTGTGCAGCTGAATGTATTTTGCATCTCACCTTCAAAACCTGATGATCCTGAAGATATAGTTTCATTGGAAGACGAAGATGATCCAGAATTAAGTCTGCTGGTCGAGCTTCTAGGTAAAGGTTACAAAATGAAATCTGAAGATTGGACAAAATGTTCAACCACTACTTGAACCCAAGACCTATTGTTATTGTAACAAAACTATAACCAGTAAACAAAGCTTCTCATTCGTGAATATCTTACAAATGAGCATCCTGAATATGTTTTAGGAAAGTCATCCTAAATATGTATGTGCCCTTCTTAAAACATATACAAATGAGCATCCTGCTCTATTCCATGTACAACACTGATAGAAGAAGTTCCGACTGATGGATGAAGTACCTACAAGCAAAAAACATAGACATGAAAATAGACAGAGAGTTAAAATTGAAAACACATGACTAGAAAGCATCATATCTGTATATTGCATTATTTAGGGAGGTCATCCTAAAATACACGTATCCTTCCTAAAACCTATGAAAATGAGTTTTTACCTTCTACTTTGCATGTGCAGCCAACAAGATTTCTAATGCAAAATCAAACTAAAAAAAATCCAAAGAGACAACAAGATTAGCTGCAAAAGACAACAACATTCCTGTAATGTCTGAACAATCCATGGGTGGAATACAAATGATTATAATATCCCAATTGGGCAAAACTTGGTGCTTCTAATAAGCTCTGTAAAATAAAATAGTTGTAGCCTGTTATTAGAC